TTTTTTTTTTTTTTTTTTCAGACTAGACATATCGAGTTTTCTCAGCCTTTCCTCATATGGCTTGTTTCAACCCTTATATCTTTGTTTCTCATCTCTGAATCCATCTGCCATTTCCCTACATCCTTTTTAAAATGCTGTGGGTTAAACAGTGTTTTAAAATGCTGTGGGTTAAACTCCAGCTGTGGGTTAAACAGTGATATTTTACCAACCTCCCTTGTCTTGTGCTGAATACTTTAGTTAATAAAGCCCAAGCTGCTGCTTTTGCAATGGCACTACATTTCTGCCATATTTTTTTGGAACTTTAGTCCTATCCTCCAGCGTGTTTGTGACCCTTCCCAGTTCTGTTATCCAAATCTTGTCAGTAAGTTTTGGGTTCCTTTTTTTTTTCCTGAATCCAGATAACTAATAAAAATGTTAAATAGATTGGACCAAAGCAGACTCCTGTGACTTGGTATGAAACCTCCTGCCTCCGGATATTGATCTGTTTATATTTACTCTTTGCTTGCAGTTAATCGAGCAATTATATATCCACTTAATGGTAATTCTGTCTACCATAGTTCATATTTCTCCAGTTTACTTATGAAAATCAAGCTTACTCCAGCTTACTGAAGTCAAACCCAGAGGTGTATAATACCTACTGCACTTTCCATACCTACCCAACTAGCTTCTCTGACAAGAGAAGGAAATAAAGTGGGATTAACATCCTTTCTTTACAAATCACTATGGCCATTTAGTGACCACCCCTTTCTCCTCCAGGCATTTACAAATTAATTGATTTATAATTTCCTCCAAGTACACTGGTATTAGAGCAAGATGACCAGTCTATAATTCCCCTGGTTAAAGATGGGTACTAAGACAGCCTTTCTCCAGATTTCTGGGACTGATCCTGTATCTATGTTTTGGCAGTTACTGCAGGGGCTCTGAGATGTCTTCAGCTGGCTCCTTCAGCACACTCGGTGAATGTTGTCAGGCTATACCAATTCAGGTTCATGTAAATTTTTCAGTAACACTCTGCACTCTCATGATCCCAAGCTCTTCCCTTTTATTTATATTGATTTTTTTTGTTGGCTGTCTAGTTGCAGTGTATCTCAGTCTTCACAAAAAAAGTAATCATACAGTAACTCTGCCTTCTTTGCATCCTCTTTGAATATCTTCTGCCTCCCCTCCTTTAGGTGTGAACAGAAGAACCAGTTTCTCTGATTTTTTTTTTTTTTCTTTTTTATTTTCTTTTTCCCCCTTACACCCTTTTTTAATTTTTTTTGCCCCCCCCCCTTTAGGGGTGAAAAGAAAAACCAGTTTCTTTGATTTTTTTTTTTTTTTTTTTTTTTCCTGTCTGATATGCTTATACCCTCTTACACCCTTTGTAAATTATCTTTCTTTCACCTTTGATTTCCTAAATTTGACTTTCCCTGATCTTGCCGTTCCTTACTAGGCTTCCTTAATGACTTGCTATTCCTTCCATTGTCTATATATTTCTCTCTTGATTTTTGAGAAGCTCCTTTTGTAGTAACATTGGTTTCCTGTGGTGGTTTTTATTTTCCCCCATGTTGGAAGCTCAGCAAGAAGGTATTCCAGTTCTGTGTCCTTTTAAGAACGTTCAGTCCTCCTGGACTGGCTTTATCTCCTTAATTATCTATTATTTCCAAGGCAGTTGAAATCTGTCCTCTTGAAGTTTTAGTATCCTTATGTCTTTCCTACCTTAAAATCATGTTTTCTGTATAATAATGTTTGCTTCCTCCCAAGGTTCTGATCACCTTTGTTTGCAACCAGTTCTTCCTTATGGATCAGAACAAGTTCCATGATAGATGGGCCCTTGCTAGTCTCCTCAGCTTTCTAAAATAAATTTTTCCTCTACACATATTAAGAACTTGTGGACATCTTATGTTTGGGAATATTTTTCTCCATTGGGTATTGAAGAAGTTAAAATCCCCCAATATGCTACTTCCTTAATTAATCCTGAAGAAGGGTGCTTGTACCTGAAAGCTTGCAAATAAAAATTTTTTTCTTGCAAAAATCTAGTTGGTCTAATAAAAGATATCGCCTCTACCACAAGTTCTGACTCCTTAATTTTAGATATTCTTGTTACCCGCTTGAAGAATGTCTCATCTACCTCCTCTTCCTGAATTGGTCTTTTAATAAAATGTATACATCTTTCACAATTTACAAATAAATGATATATCTGTCGATCTCTTACAATCTTGGATATCACTGGTACTACAGGTGAGGAGATTTTAATTAAAGAAAGTCTTACAGGAGCTACAGCTTGCTCTCACTCCTGTGCATATACAGGGACTGTTCATGCTCAGGCCTTGTTAAAACTGAACCTCTTCAGCTATGTTAGTTAAAGCAGTACAATTTCTTTAGTATGGGTACAGACATTTTATTGTAAAAGTTCTTTGCACAGGCATAGGTCATTCCTATATGGGAACTGGAAAAGCCATAAGAGTATAATGGGGTCTATGCTTGGGCTTTTACCTATTGTCAGTAGATTGCTCCCTAAACAAAGCAGTTAAACAAATGTTCATGCGTAGATTCTCAGGTGACATACGAGGACTGCTGCATAAACAAGCAACAAAATACCTGTGCAAAACCCATTGCTATCAGGATTCTATAAGTGTGTGTCCCTTTAATCTGCAGGCATATGTGTTCCAAATGTATGCGAATGAAGTTGCATGAACACAATGATTTTTCTTCTAAAAGCTCAGGCCATAATAAGCCTATTACTTTATATTAAAAAAAAAAAACCCGAGAGGGGCAGATGGGGGTAGCTCTTACTATGATTCATGTCAAGATTTTGTTCTAAATGGCTGTATGTATTGAAATAAATGTGACTAATACCAGGCACAGAAAAATGGAATAGCTTTAGGACTGAGAAATGAAAGTCTTTCTAAAAATTGTGGTTTTGTTCTAACAGGTGAACATTGCTTGGACCCAGACACATACCTCTTGGACTTGTACCACGTCAATCCTCATGCTGAATGGATTATAAAGCAAAATCCATCTTTTCCATGGATGATCTAAATAAATGATGAGCAAAAATAAACATTTGAGTTGAGTTTCTGGGAGACAGAAGAAAACTATTTACCAAAAATGAGTATGGCATCCCAGAATGAAGGATCCTTGTGACTTGGGAGGGAAAGAACCTTGTCTTACTGCTTTAGTAATAGCAGGCTGAAAAGGAGAGCACTAACCCTGACACTAACATAAGAGTTGGTAACCAACAGGAGTCAACATTAGGTTTTCACACCTTGCAGATTCTTTGACCTGTAGCAGGGTATCTGTGAACACAGAGCTGAAGGGGGGGGGAGGGGCAAGTGGGAAGACCTGTTCTTGGAGGAGAAACTGGTAGAAGACCTCTTAATCCTTTTGGATTTGCATAATTCCTTATTTTGACCACATCCTCATTTTTGGAGGAAAGAAACGGTCAAGTGCTTTAGTACTGTCAGTAAATGTTAGTGTCCACCTGTTGTCTATGTTAAGTACCACCGACTTTTGATGGAGCAGGGGGAGTTAGACCCTTTGGTCTTCGTTTTGTCTAACTGTGTTAGGCAACTTCTAATTTTCTTTGTGGAGGAGGAACCGAATGACCAGATATAAGGAAAAGCTGCCATTCTTTGTGTAACTAACTACAGTTAAACCTGTACACAAAGAAAAAATTACTGTTTCTGGACCCAAGATAAACTTTGGGTATCAACCCTCCGAAGCAGATATAGGAGATGTACTAACAGGGAGCTTCTTGCCTGGATCTGTAGAAGTCCTATTGGTAACGGGTCTTCTAGTCCAGTGGAAACTAACAGATGATGCCAACGTGTGAAATGTTCCACTACTAATAAGGAAGGGCCAGAATCTGTTTGTTGGTTGGTCTTCTGTGAAACTTCTGTAGTAAAAGGTAGCAGAGCAAGGATTCTGGATTGGTATGTAAGGATGTTTTTCAATATAGTTCAAGAATTTTCAAATCAGTGTTAATATGAGACTTACAGTCTGACCTGGCCGCATCATATAAAGGCCAGGTAGTTCTGGTTAGGGGAAAGGGTAACTAGTGGGGAATGACTGGAATCATGTCTGCTAACTAGTGTGTACTGAATTGGGCCCATTGACAGATTGGATATATCCTTCCAGGACTCTGGAACCTGAATGCAGTGGGTTTGGAGGGAAATAAGGATAATGCAAAACAGTTGGACCTTGTTTGGTGCGCTAATGCATGTGACCTGCTTCGTCTTTGGGCTGGAATGGGACTGCAGCTTTGGAAGAATAGTTCAGAAGTGTCACTATCCTTCACAGCTGTTCTGAAATACCTCAAGAACAAGTAAGCCCACTGTACACTGTTGCAGCATGTGGAACGTGGAGTAAGTCCATCTGCCAAAGTTCCTTCATCAATTTTATAACGTGCTTAAAACATTGTTAAATGCTACTTATTTGTGTGGCACAGACAGACAGGCCTGACTTTTCAATGTGCTCCAGAAGGACTTCCTCTTCCCATCCTTAGTCATGCTTTAGACAATCTCAGTATTATTTTCTTTTGTTAGCTGGAATGTTTCCTTTGCAATTTGAGCTTCAGATTCTCTGTATTATTTTTGCAGGAGGATATTTAGCTGTCCCAGTTCATTGTCTTAGAATCATAACATTGTCCTGTAAGGACACTTCAAATCTCTTTCTGTTTTTTCATTCCAGTAAAAATGTTTAGAGATTGATTAAGATTCTGGAGAAACAGCTGAGCCACTTCTAGTCCTGATATTTGTCCTGTATGTTTGATACTTAATCCTTTTTTTAAATGTGGTTTGTATATGAGTTTTTGATGTAGTTATGATGTATGGATGAATCGGTTGGAGGAGTCGTCATCTTTTCTTCCACTTCCCTAATCCTTTCATTGTCAGAATCATCATTTGAATTCAAACTGGGATTTTCAAAAGTGACTTAAGGATGCCATGGGTTGGAGTGGGGAGAACATTTCAATTAATCACCTTTTTTATAGGGAGCTGATTTTTCTGAGAAGTGCTCCATGTTTTCAGAAATTCAGTCTACTTTAAAGTTGGGCCTGAAAACTGAAGGACCCAGAGTCATCAGTCACTTCTGAAAACTTTGGCTAAGGTGATTTATTATGAATATTATTAGAATAAAAAAGACAGAGAAAAGGCTACAAAAATGACCTGTTTAAAGCAATACCTGCTGCACTGTGGCACATTTTCTGGCCTCAAAAGATAATCGCATGAGTGGTGGGGGAGATGTTCCTACTCCCAGGGTTGCTGGTACTGTACTGGTGTTGGTGGGCCCTTGACAAAATGCTAAATCATGACCTGTCTTTTTCTACCTACAGGCTAATTTCCTGTGGGTGTTTTTTGTTCCATTTTTCGCATGTAAACTTTGTTGTAATACTTTAGTGTAATAACATGTGAAAAATTGCAATAACTTTCTGCAAGGACTGGAGCAGTGTATCTTCATTAGGGATGTAGGAACTCTCCAACATCCACGAGCTGACTGCAATTCTTGCATCTCCTCCCAAAACAACTCAGTTGCTTAGAGAGATGGCAAAGTAACACTTGGAAATGCTGGTTAATTTTGGGTGGGGAAGTAATGATTTTAAATATGAGTAGGGAGGGATGTGTGCCAAGTTTTAGTTTATTTCCTCCCCTCCTGCCCCACAAAGTTGCAACTGTATGCAAAATATAGGTCTACTTTACATGCACAGTTACTTTTAATAGAACATACAAATACTTCTTTTTTATTTTTCAGGTACAAATATCTGGTTTGTGTATGCCAGTTAAACCTAACCTTTTGAACATTTGGCTTGTAAATGGCAAGTGTAATATAATGTCCTCTCAGACAGTTAAAGCCACTTACATGGGGAAACACAGAGTATAGGCAAAAATAACGGTGAGGTTACATATGGTGACTTCCCTGGTGCAAAGACTCATTGAAATAACAGTAGCAGCAGGCTTGCATAAATTGAATGGTAGGATTCTGCTAGTTCAGACTCGTACTGGTAATAATCATGCATTCTGATTTGATTTATAAGATTTTGGGAGTGGGAAGAAAAGAAAACGTTGCTCCGTGACTTCTGAAACTGTTCATTTGTTTGACTGTCTCAGCAAACCAAAAATGTGAAATCAGTGCTACAAAAAGTAAGGTTAAAAGGGATTGTTGTATGGAACAAGCTTTGGATTTAACACTAGATCAGAAACTTTTTACCTCTATCTCCAGAACTGATCTTATGTTTGTTTGTCTAACTTTTTGTAGAAAAGACCAAGTTTAAGGTCAGAACTGTCACCATAATGTAAAACCTGTTTGTCTTTTTTGAACGTTGGCTTTTAATAAAGTTTTAAACATTTTAATGCCATATTTAAAATCCAGTTAATCAATAAAAACAATAAAAGTCTACTTTTATGTGTGACTGGTTTTCTTGTCTCAAGTTCAGTTGGCAGAAAGGGTTCAGTGTATACTTGTACATGTGAACAGAAAGGGTTAACAGCTGTTAACTTGAGTGGATAACATTTATGTTCATGCTTCTCTGCTAAGGGTAGAAGCCTATAGCCTGGTTTGTTGTACCTTATATAGATCCAGAATAACACTAGTTGAAGCCACTGGGCCAAATCCAAATTGGTCAGCAGTAGGACTGCTTCCATATTTGCAGGATTAGACCTTTCACTTATGGACAAACCTGGGAGTCTCCATAGGTGGACTTGAAGTACAGAAGTAGAAGGCACAGCAGCAGCAGAAGGCTTTGTTCAAGATATCCTAGGAGATCACTTTGAGGGAACAGGCAGTGGGTTAAGGAAAGAAAACACTTTAAAGGAAAGGCTGGGTGGTGGCCTTGGAAGGGCCAAGAGGAAATTCTAGTGGTTCTTGTAGGTCTCTATCGGGGGATGTATAGAAAAAAAATCACTTCCGTACAAAGAGCCCTTTATCATCTGATAAGTGGGGGTGGTCTGTGTTGAGAGTGAAGAGCTATAATTCTGGTGAAGACTTAAGTTTGTGGAGATCAGGAGGACCACTGCTTCTATTGGAATAATGGAAAAGCCACTGCTCCTTGGCTAAAGGCCTTTGAATACTGCCGTCCATGTCAGGACTTCGAACAGGACAAATGCTTCGAACCTCGTGATCCAGTTGCCTGCCTAGAAGTCATGATTGACAGGAAGAACTCTGCTTCCTTATTATGGAAAAGGATTCTTTCAGTTTGGATGGTGGATTGAAGTAGCCAGAGCAGCTTACAAGTTGGGATGCAACTGTGGGTCATATGGGGGATATAAGGCACAACACACCTAATGAGACATTGGGTAAGGGAGCCCTCTAACAGGGTGGGAAAAACCAACTGTTGACCTGCAGTTCCATTTCTGAGTCCTATTGCCTTTTTTAGCCTGTTATAGTTTCCCTCTTCACCTAAAGCCGAAGAGGGGAGAGGAGGAGCATAACTTAGATGATGCTTCCATAACTTCATTTTAAAAGTGTTTCTATCTCCTGCTACTTACGTACTAGTCCCCTCTCCTTGGCTCTGCCTACTTTTTCACCCAAGGACTTTCTGAAAACAAAGCCTTGCCAGACTTCACTGGTGTCACTTAACATCCTGTCCCAGTCATGAATGAGGGTGTGAAAATGTTCAAGCTCAAAAAAGGCAGTTCAAGTAGATTCCCAATTTAAAACAAAATCTCTGTAAACCTTCACTCATCAAGGCAAGTCTTGTTCTGAAGAAGTTGGCTAAGCACTGGCTGAAATGATGGGTAGCTCAAGGCTCCCATACTTTTGGTGGAATTAAATTATACTTGGTTGCTATTCCACACTGCAGTTACCTGGGTATTGAAGTAAGGCACCAACCAAATGCCATCTTGTGTTTAAAGAGTAGTAATGGCAGTGGATACCAGATTGCAGCCAACATGGGTATTCACCAAGTGGTCCTGAAACAAGCAGGAGGAAAGTAAGAGTTTGAGAGGTTTGAGGCTTAGGTTTTTCTCTTAAGTGTTTCAGAGTGATTATCTGAGGAAAACACCACTTTATCAAGCTTGGACTGTCCATTTATCTTTCACACTATCAAAGTAGTAACCTCTTCCACCCTCAAGGGCATTTTTGATTGATCATTACACATCTGCTCTGAACAAACTCCTGGTATTTATTTTGCATATGGTTTAAAGCGAAGCATACTTTGATGGTGTGAAATAGTAAGGGACTTGCAAAATGTTGGTTAAATGCATACTTAGTTCCACTTTATTTACTTAAGTTATATGTTACATACACCTACACAGTCAAAAGGGTCGCCAACTGGCTGGAGGGCCACACCCAGAGAGTGGTAGTGGATGGGTCATTTTTGACC